TAGCAAACAACAGTTCGGGATTTGAAAATATCACAGATCACCAGTTGAACAATTCAACGCTGACAGATTTTTCAAGCGTTGAAATCTTCAGTATATTCATATACTTTGTTGTCTTTGCTCTGGGTATTGTTGGAAATGGGCTTGTCATATATGTGACTGGCTACAAAATGAAGACGACCGTCAACTCCATTTGGTTTCTCAGCTTGGCGATTGCAGACTTCATCTTCATCTTAGTCCTCATCCTCAACATTGTTCATGCCTTTAACAAGAAGGTTTGGCCCTTTGGTGACTTCATGTGCAAGTTTGTATCCTTCGTGACAGTGCTAAACATGTTTGCCAGCATTTTCTTGCTCACTGCTATCAGTCTGGACCGATGCCTGTCCACCTGGGTGATTGTTTGGGCTCAAAACAAACGAACTCTGGTCAAAGCCAGGATCATCTGTACACTCATGTGGGTTTTATCCATTGGCTGCAGCATACCATTTGTCATGTGCCGCTCAGGAGAGAACAACAGATGCGCCTATGTTTGCCCTATAAACATCATAAAGTCTCTGTTCATATACAGGTTTATAGTGGGCTTTCTCATCCCCTTCCTGATCATTGCATCTTCATACATTGCTATCGGAGTGCGGGCCAAACGTCTCAAAAGAGGAAAGAAGCTTAAGCCTTTCCGGGTCGTTATATCTGTGATCCTGGCCTTTTTCATATGCTGGTTTCCTTTACATCTTCAACAACTGTCTTTCGTAATTGCAAGGGAAAATGGGTGGATTGACGCTGAAAAAGTATTCATTGAAATAGCTCCATTCGTTAACTGCCTGGTTCATCTCAACAGCTGTCTGAACCCCATTCTCTATGTGTTCATGTGCGAGGAGTTTAAAAAGAAGCTTAAACAGTCTCTGCTGCTGGTGCTGGCGACGGCTTTTGCTGAGGATCATCTGCCTTTCCGAACATCTCGCTCTTCCACATGTTCACATCTCTCAGAATCAAAAGGTCTCAACCAGACAAACGAAACAACCATCTCGTCATGCGGCAGCGGCCAGGACAGCAATACATGCTGTTAGAAAATCAGTCTCAGAGATATTCATTCCCCATGTTAGACTGAAGAGATCTTATAAAGTGTATTAGCAAGCTCTCCACATCTCTCCACATCGCCTTGATGCCAGAGGTTCAAAATACATATTGCTTTAAAGACAATCTGAAGGTTTAAATGCTGCAATGTATGTGCCA